TCATCATCTAGCACCACCCCCCATCCCCCCCCCCCAATCTCCCTCCATCTAGCCTCGGCTATAGGAGGTGGGCTCACTTCCCCTCTCCCTTGGAGTCCTGATTTATTTCTTGATTCCCTTGGTTCCATCCCTGGTTGAGGCCTTTCATCTTCGTGATGTTTTCCCTCTTCCTACCCCACCTCGCTTAGGCGTTGGCACGGTCGGCAACCCCTTTTCCACCAACAGCAGACGGCGGAGACTACAGTTGCAGTATGAGAGAACAGCCTTCAGGCTTCAGTCAATCTCTCCATTCTCTTGCTTTCCTAAGAGGCTGCCTAGTTGGACACAAATGCAATAACCGATAGCTGTTGCTTACGGACTTGGGTCTACCCCTCCTCTTGTCTTTGGGGCCTTTTTGGCTGGCAGGTGGTGGGATCCCTTCCACTACAGTGACACTATCTCTCCCAGAACAAGGGACTACATGAGAGATGCGGTAAAATGCCTGCTTTACTTAGGGCTTCTCTACGGTCAGATTGGCTGGTACCCTACTACCACTCCCTCTCCAGCTGGCACCTTACTGCCTTGATCGTCGGTTGTCCTGGAGGACACACAGTCGCTGGCATGCCTGCCACACACCTCCTCTCCTCGCTTCTCGGTTGCCGCCTTCAGGGTGGTTTCCCTTATACCGTATGTGCCCGGGGCTTCGGCTCCCTACTCCTGGCCCTCATCATATGGCCTAGGGGTTCCTATGATGGATTTGAGTTGTAGCCATTGGCCCTTAGGGGTTCAGTTTGGGTTTCTGCCTTTAGGTGTTTTGTTCCTGTGGTTAGGCATATTCTTGGTTCACTGTTGGGTAGCTAGCTTTCTTTTGTCACTTGGCGGTGGGGGTTATTGGTTCATGGTCTACGGGAAGGACTTTGGGTGAGAGTAGTTTTTTCTACCCCAGAGGGTTTTTTTAGCTCTGTCATTCAGCCTCATCCGGGGGGGGGGGCAGTTTTTTAGGCATCATAGCTAGCGCTCCATATGCTGTTTTTGTCCCATAAACAAAATACAAAATGAGTCAACCAAGAAAACAAAAAAAATCCCTAGCTTTAAGTCATCCTCTGTCTCTGCTACACCTTTGGCGATTGAAAACTCAACACCATGGTTACTATCGTGGCTTTCATTATCTAGCATGACCACCCCCTCTCCCATCTCCCTCCATCTAGCCTCAGCTACAGGAGGTGGGCTCACTTCCCCTCTCCCTTGAGGTCTTGATTTATTTCTTGATTCTCTCGGTTCCATCCTTGGTTGAGGGTTCATCTTTGTGATGTTTCTCCTCTTCCTACCCCGCCTCACTTAGGCGTTGGCATGGTCGGCAACTCCCTTTTTCCATCTTCAACAGACGGCCAGGACTACAGTTGCTGTAGGAGAGAACAGCTTATAGGCTATAGTCAATCTCTCCATTCTCTTGCTCCTGTAAGAGGCTGCCTAGTCTCACACAAACGCGGTTACCGATAGTTGTCATTTATGTAATTGGGTCTACCCCTTCTCTACTCTTTTGGGCCTCTTTGGCTGGCAGGTGGTGGGATCCCTTCCACTACAGTGACGCTATCTCTCCCAGAACAAGGGACTACATGAGAGATACGGTAAAACACCTGCTTCACTTAGGGCTCCTCTTCACGGTCGGATCGGCTGGCACCCTACTGCCACCTCCTCTCAAGCTGGCACCTTACTGCCACAATCCTCGAATGTCCTGGAGGACACACGGTCGCTGGCATGCCTACCACACACCTCCCCTCCTCACTTCTCAGTCGCTGCCTTTGGGGTCATTTCCCTTATACCTTTCGTGTCCGAGGCTTTGGCTCCCTCCTCCTGGCCCTCATCATATGGCCTAGGGGTTCCTTTTACGGGATTTTGAGTTGTGATCGTTAGCCCTTAGGAGTTTAGTTTGGGTTTCTGTCTTCAGGTGGTTCGTTCTTGGGGGTTTGGCAGGTTCTTGGTTTACTCTCAGGTAGCTAGCTTTCTTTTGTCGCTTGGCAGTAGGAGTTATTGGGTGGAGCAGTTTATGGGAAGGATTACAGGCAGGAGTAGTTTTTTCTACCCCAGAAGGTTCTTTTAGCTCTGTCATTCAGCCTGGTCCGGGGGGGGGCGTTTTTTTAGGCATCATAGCTAGTACTCTGTATCCCTTTTTGTCCTATAAACAAATATTTAAATGAGTCAAACAAAAAAAAAACAATCCCTAGCTTTAAGTTTATTATCAGCAACTGGAGAAGAGATTTTATCAATATATTTGTTCTACTTTACTTCTATCTTTATAAGCCTTCTTGACTATCTCCAAGACAGAAGATTACAGGGCCTAGTGTATACTGACTTGACCTTAGAGATACCTACCCTCTAACATCCCCCCCCCCCTTCTACTCTATGGTTAGCTTGTTGTCTATTAATTGTTTGTCTGTTTTGCAGAAGAGTGCTTCTGGAGTATACTAGGAGTGCTCAGGGGGTTTCTCAGTAGTAGTACATAGCACAGAAGAGGGAGCATGACAGAAAGGCATATGGTGGGGAAGTACAATGGAAAGGTGTACAGCAGGGAAGCATGATGGAAAGGCATACAGCAGAGAAGTGCAGAGGAAGGTATACAGCTGGAGAGTGTAGTGGAAACGGGCAGCTGATGGGTGCATGGTGGGAGTACAAGTTTGTCTTTCCTTCATTAGCTTTTCTTGTTTGTGTGTATATAGGGGCTTACCTGGTAGAGGGGAGGCATAAGTTTGTCTTTTACTAGTTAGTTTGTGTTTGCTTGCTAGTGGGATGAGAGACTTACCTATGAGGGCAGAGAATTTGTTTTACTGTTTGCCATTGATAAATTCTCCTATCTTTACTATTAATTAGTTCTGTAATGTGATAGTGAAAGGGTAAGAAAGAGAGAAATATTTTTCATGAGTTGTGCAATTCCTTGACATGAGTCAGCTTGGCATTATTTCATTTCACAGCCAGTTACTTGACTAGTTTTCCGATTGGCCTGTTGCAACAGACCCCTGTTCATTGGCTGCTAGTTCAAAAGATTACTCAGGTTGTGATACCATATTACTCTACTGGCAGCTTCTAGATTTTGGACTTTCTAGTATTAGTATATGGAAATAATACAGGCGGAAACAGATATAGAGATGTATTTGTTTTGTTGGCAGAAGCTTCCAATTTGAATCTTACTCCCCACAGTATATGGTAAGTAGAACATTGTGTATCTACAGGATTAGCCATACTGGTTGTTGTTAGTTTAGTCTATTGGTTAGGAACTTCAAGTAGAAAGAGGTAACAAGAAGAAGGACCTTATAGATGGTGTAATATTAGAAAAACTTATTTGTTCATGCAATGGATCGGAAAAAAAGAAAGAAGATAATTGTATTATCAAACTGACAACTAGCTAGTGATATATATATATGAGTAATACAACTACTAGAATAAAACTCTATAGATACAATTCACTTAGTATTCATGATGGCATGAAGCAGGACAGGTTATTGGATACTTGTCCTACTCTGCTCTAGGTATAGGGCATCCTACCCTCTGGATTACCTGTCCTACTCCCCCCCACTCACATATGCCAGCACCTATCTACCTTACTTGACTCTGTTTTCTATAATTTTCTTTGATATATAAAATATATATATTTTAAAGGCACCTGCCAGTAAAGTCCTGAGCAATAATTATTTCTGTAGAGACAATATTAGGGTATTGAAGAGGTCCATATGGTAGTTTTATATTTTAATCATTGACCCCTGTTATTGTATGTTAGTATAAATAACTGAATCTTATAATACTTTTAGCATTTGAACTAAATCAATAAATATTATTTACTTAATAAAAAAAGTTGGGGAAAATAACAGTAAAAATTAAGAGAAGTGCGAGTGAGTAGGCTAAAATCTTCTCTGAATATTTCATGAAAATTTCTTCACATCTAGCATATTTAAAGTGATAAAAATGCCCCAGCAATTAGAAATCTCAAAACTGTATTTGCCTTTTACTACTTTCTAAACTTCTGATAAGGTTAGATAAAGGTGACCATGATGTGCCTTTTATCTTATAGTCATGGTAATACTAGACTTGTGTAATGAGTTATGGATTGAAGTAAAATATTGTAGGGAAATATTTATTCTTGAAGTTGTCTCCATTGATATAGTAGCTATATTAGATTCTTTTCTATTAGAACTTCTTAAATAAGAATTATTCAAATGTTATATGTTCATAACCATGCCATGATATTTTCTAAATCTTGTTAATGGGTTTGGTTATGTCGTTTAGCACTGCCAAGAGATCTTTATCATCAGATGCTTTAGATTGGGTTGAGAATTGAACTGCTCGTTTATTTTGTATTATGACAAACACACTTATTTTTACAAATGCAGCATATATGTATTTTAAAATAGATATGATACCATTTCTAGCGTTCGTTACGGGGTGGGGTATCCTACCCTCCGCTCCCCGTACGGAGGCTCTCATAGCCCCCCGCATGTCCTCCCAGTGGCTCCCACCCATATTATCTGGCAGGAGCAGGAGTAGGGACCTGCATAGGGGGTGGGCGTGAAGGGCTCGGAATAGCGGAAAAGATATGCCCCTCTACTTTTAGGGCCTAAGCTTTTTTTTTTTTTTGGAAGAGGGTCGGGTGGATCGATTTAAGTACAAAAGCTGGGACTCATCCATTTCATTAAACCAAATTTTTCGCTCCTACAAGTCTGCTCCCGCTTTGGGGCCGGGGTTATCAGAGGTAAATTCTTGTTGTGTAAACTAGTTCCGGCGCAGGCAAATCAACTATCAAGAAAGGCGCGGGTGTTATCATCCGGTAGGACTCGGATATTTCCGTGATTTTATTCAGGTATGAATGTGGACGTAATCCAGAGGACAGGAGAAACACCAAAACCGTATGAATTTAAATGGGCCAACTATTTTAGAATAGGAAAGATGAAGTTTTAGAGAACAGTCAATTGCACGGCGGCAAGAACCAGTGTATGAAACTTTCCAACCGGTATTTCTCTTCGGTATGTGTTTGGTCAACAGGAAATAAAGGGACTGACTCCTTTATTCGTAGAATCCATGACATGGAACTACGAGCACTCACGGATTCCGGAAAATTTGCTACGGGCTGGTATAGAAATCCAAGAGCACCCAGGCGTCGTACTTTTGTCAATTCGTGTTTCAGTAAGCAACACTCCTACCAGAGCCTTCGGAAAGGAAAGTAACAAAGAAGACTAACCCCGACACTGTCACCACTCCGTTTGGCGGCACACATCCCCTCCCAAATCTTCACCTTCTGGGCAATCAGCGTCTCCTCGGTGATCCCCATGTTTCTAGCACGTAGCTCAAGCTCAGCAGCCCTCGACATTTGCGCTTTCGCCTTGTTTTTGTTCGCCTGGCTCCTGCGCTGTGCCCGCGTAACTATATTAATTCGTAAGCACACCCTCGGCGTTGGGTTTACGGGAAGAGGGGGCGATACTGCGTGTAGCCACGAGCCGGTCATGCTCTATCTTATGAAGATTCAACCAAGCAGCCTTCTCATCACCGGTGCGCCCGTGAATCCCGGGGCGCTTGAGATGCCTCCAGAGGTACCCATCGCCCATCTCCCCCTTAAAAACCAGGGGGCAGACCGAGACGGGACAGGCGATTTCAGGTGGCTCAGGATTACCAGTGGTGGGATCTTTCAAAGCTTTCGAGAGACCGGAGGTAGAACAAGAATGGCTTCTTGGGATGGTCTTTTCATTCGGGGAGGAGGAGAAAGTGTGGGTGAGCACGTAATATCCGAACATCCCTTCGTGAGAATTATGAAACATGACGTTAGGATTGGAAATCTGGGCGCTTTTGGCGAGAAGTGCCTATTAACTTTATGTGGAGATGAGCGTAAAGTCGAAATAGAGGTCAGTGTGTGGGTTACGATGAGAGATAGTAGAGGAAATTCTGTGGGAGGGTTTGACTGAACCATAGGCTTTACACTGCCCATTAGTATATATAGCGGAGAAGGAGATGAGATGCAACTGTTGAGGTACTATGGCGTAAGGCCGGGACTGGTTGTTGTTGCTTGTGCATATTCCTGATCCGCGCTTGAGGGTTCGGGGGGGGGGGATACCACCGACGGAGGTGAATAAAAGCTATGATATTTCGCTACTCTAACTTCTCTACTATTCAATAGCTCCGGGCCACTCATCAGATCTCACTCGCTCTCTCATTCACCCAGTTCCCCAGTATAACCTCTAGCGCTGCCAGCAGAGGGTTGAACTATCCATTCATGGGAGAACACAACTACACAAGATCCTGTGTTTATTTCCCTAATGCGATTTTAATCTCCCCTATCGGTAGGTTAACTGCATTCTGCAACGAAGGTCAAACCCAATTTTATGGGTACCGAGGGTTTTCCTTCATGCAGATTCGATAAGGGAACACAAGTGCCAACAGATTCGGCATCATGATAGTAGGCGGAGAGTGGGAGAATAAGGTCGGGGGTGGTGAATTCTCTCTGTTTTTAGTGGCTACTCGATAGCGCGCCGCAAGGAAGACACTCCTCCCAATTTCTCCCACTCCATGGTTCTCATAGCGGGGGAAAGTTGGTCAGTAGCAGAGGTGCTGTACACCGTCCTGGCCGGAGTCTGATTGACAACAAGTTTTCGAACATGTGGATGAAAAGATGCGCTAGTGACGGGGGTTAAAGCAGTAATAGGTAGGACTGGAGCTCAAGAGGAAAAAGCAGTGGACTTTGTTGGTGTTTCTTTATTAAATTTTATGCGATATACATAGAAAGAGATACCTAAGAGACACCTAATCCCTAGTGAGTGGGGTCATTAAGGCGGAAGCCTACCTTCATTTGCAACGCTAAGTTGCATCGAAGGTACCGCAGCTCAGGCAGTTGGTGATCTGTTTTTTCTCTCTTTCCAATTCCCTTCTTGCAACCCTCCCCAGGTGCATACAAGCAAATGGTAAAATATCAATTAAACCTCAGAGATGCCCTCACTGTCTAGCCCGGATGCAGTGCCAATAAGCCAATCCGGTTCCTTGTTTCCATTGAGATCCTGTTCAATCCCCACCCTAGCCCTGGTCACTCGCTCCTTTTTTTTTTCTTACTTGCATTTGCAGGCAGGTGATGAACAGGGATCAGTAACAGTTGTTTTTATTACCCTATGATACTTTGATAAATTTACTTTTCTCCCTATCGAGAAGATCACTTTGTCGGATATGTCGCGTTCTTTTCTTATCCGTGTTAACTAAGGGGTGAGATGGAATCTTTTCTTCCCCTAACCCAGAGGGGGAAATTCTAGACGCCCTAGAGTCACTCTCGATTATTCCAGTTTTAGTGGTACTATTAGTTGTATACCATAGGTGAATTACTTCTTCTTTCTGATTCCGAAGATTAAAATGAACCTTGACTATCTGGACGGCACAGTGGCGGTGTTCGGCAAATCCTCTCGAAAACCGTTGCCGGATGATCGACGGAAATCAGCCATTATTGGCCCAGTTTGACCCGGTCACAGAATCGAGAACACCGTTTGATCCAACATGCCCAGTTAGCTAATCCTATCGTGTCAGGAAAACACTATTCCTTCCTGGAGCTCTGGCCCCTGAATCCGGAGGTTAGAAGGCCACCAGAGATAGTAGGTTCCGAGGGTTTTTTTCTGACCCTATCTTGTTGGTCTGGTCCCGTTGGGTCGACATACACTACTTAACTCCAACCCCCAATACTGTCTTAACCATTCGGGCACCGTGATGAAACTGAGCGGGTGACGAACAGGGGTCAGTATGATACCAAGAAATCTTTTGTTACCCTACTTTGACAATCCCCGATTTCTCGCACAAAATACCCCTGTCCGTCACCCCTCCTTGTCCCGTGGCAGAATCGGCGTATGAACTACCGATACTGTAGATGTGATGGAATGGCTGCGACAGTTGAGGGATGAACTCTATTCTGTAAGGCTGGTTATTGTTCTTGTTTTTTTTTGCTTTTTTTTATCAGATTGCATCCGCGTTTAGGTGGCGCTTTCATTAATCCGGCTGATTGAGTAATCGCAGCAGTGAGCACCGGTACTCTATGGTGCGGGGAAGAGTGTGGTATGGGAGTTCACAAACGTTGCCAGCGTCGCTGTGCCGGCAGTCTGTGGGGCCAGTCCCCAGGTTCTGGCAGCAAAATCGGTTTGCTGTCCCAACCGACCCAAAACCAACACAATTCACACAACTTTAATAATGCATAAGCAGCAGGGCTCTAATGCCCGTACACTAACGAATGCACCTTTAGGCCTCGTGAACACTGGAGAAACGATAAAACTTTGCGAGTGACTTGCTCGTTCGACCTCCGGCCAAAGGCTACCTGCACGGCTTTGCGGAGAACCGAACTTCTTTCATCCGTTTATTGTGTTTAAAGTAATTCTTACGGCGGTTTTGCTATATGGGGGCCCGTACTGTACTAACTTCGTTATGTAACGGAAGGGTTCAATTGTTCAGCCGCAAATTCCGTCGGGTGTCCCATGGGCTAAGCCCCCACCTCTCCATAACAGTGCAGGATAGGATTCCCAACCACTCGTTAATATTTGTTAGAAACTAAATCCCGCAAACATCCCTCTTCCCGCACCCCTAGTTGTCATCACGCTCCAACTTCGGAGCCACTGGTTTGTGCGGGGGCAGGAGATTGTGGCTCATGTGCTGGGATCCGATGTCTCAGTTGCACTACTCCTACATGCCAAGATTGCTGCAGCAGTGCTCAATAATGCGGCGTACAGTACTGTACTGGTTGGTAGAAAAAACAGTATTATTGGTATCCACTCATATAAACCAAAACTAGGTGCCAGTGATAGGGCTGATCCAGTTCGGAGGGGATTGAGGCCGCCAAGAGGAGCCAGTATTTCCTAGAGAACAAGTTGCACGACAAGATTTGTGACTTTCGTACCTGCGAAGATAAAATGCGCTAGGATCGCGCTGAATACACGCCCAATCACGCTGCCATTTAAAATTTTCTCGAGAGAGGGCTTCACACCCAGAAACGAAACCTGAGCTGCAAGATGGTTAGAGAGGTAGACCATGAGTTGGAGCTAGCAACGTTCCGGGAGCAAGGCGCAAGTCTAATATAGGTAAATTTGTATTAATGCCGGTTTAGGTTAACAAGCTCCCACACAACTGTCGGCCTCACAAAAAGGCCCGCAAATCATCTTTTTTCGTCAGTTTGTGGATTCCATCCTTTAGCTCAGTTAGAACCAACCGGGTAGACCCGGGGTTCAGAAGGCAGAGGCCTACAATGCTGACTCATCACAACTAAGAGAGAGGGCGTTCGGCGTCGCAACGACTAGGGTACCCGTGATGAGATTATTAAGATTTCTAATCCAATCTCTTCCCTACAATAGGACTCCGCACCTGAAACATCCTATATGAGAGAAACTCCCCGGCATCTTTACAGGAAGCTTATGATGGAATATAAATTGAAGAGGGATTAGAGGTATTTCTGCTCTACGATCCCAGGAAAATAGATCCTCTTCCATGACATAATACATTATTGAGGATAATCTCCCAACCATAAGGCTCTATAGAGAACATCCCTCTCTTTGCTCGAATGGGTTACATACACGAGCGACAAAATACACGAGCACATGGGAGACAGACCAAAGGGCAAGAGAAACAGTACGAGAATATTATACGGCTAGTGTTCGAACAACTCCGAGCATTGCGGGACCCTGCACAACCAATCCCGTAAAATCCCGAATAATTGAACCGTGTGCTGTGTTGTTGGAGTCGCCTCCTCTGGCAAGGTCTGGAGTTTTTTTATTTTTTATGGCCCTCAGAGGGGCTGAGCAATCCTGTTTCTCGCGGTGTTTTTGCCCTTCCCAATGGGGGGATTCTGTACTATATAGCACACTGTTCAATTATTGGAGATTCTACGGAAGCATACTGAAAATTACATCAAATTACAGTTGGGGCAGTGGAGGACTAATAGCACGAGTTCTAAGATCCGAAGCTTTTCTCTATGACGGCCTGTTGACGGCGGCTGGTAAGTATACCGCACTTAACTGTACCGTAACTTATAGTATCGCATGGTAACTCGCCGCTCAAACAGCACAAAAGGCCGAGTGACCGACCATGACGTTAGTGACAGGAAGAGTCTTTCGACTAGTGAAGATCATATGAGCGGCCGGACGGAACAAACGGAACCGAAGAGGCTGTGAAGGGTTAACTGTTTGTGCGTTTTCTTTGCTGTTTATTCAGCCCTTTATTGTAGCTGCGCCAACTTCCGATGATCAGTTGGACAGACGCGGGTGTTGGGGCGGGTGGCATTGGTTTGTTCAGGAGTGCTCAAAGGAGAGGAGAATCAGGTGTAATATATTTATTCTGACGGCAGTCCGTTCATGAGATATCACTCACATCTCCATCCTAGCATACTTTAAGTTTGGGAATTCGCCTAGGGGCCAATAAAATCTAGGCATTTTCGGATGCACACTCTCGGTCAGAAATTGTTTGTTTAAATGCCCTTTCAGATAGTGCTGGAGAAACCCATGCTAGTCAGCGCTGATTTTTGAATTAATCAGGGGTGGCGATGGGTGCTGCAACTCTTTTTTGCGCCAGGCTATCCCTGCCTCTCGCTCAAAATTTAGGGTAAATTTCCAGTATCCGGAATCGCAGGTTAGATTAGATATTGCCTCTTTTTCCTAATGATAATAGGTAGGTTAGGCTCTACTCTCAATAAAACTAGGGCTAGAAGCCAGAGGTCATGCGCAAATGATGAATGAAGCCCCCCCACATTGAGACGTTATTAACGGAAGAGTAGTGTAATATCAAATTCATGGTTTGTGGTGA